TAAGAATTTCTCCCCCAAGGAGCCTTTTGGACAGTGAAAGGGTTCACAGCTGACCCAGAAAGAGTTGTGACAAGTGACCCATGGTCTTTTTGCAGGATGGGATCACTAAAGCAGGCAGAGGAGCACTGAAAATATGTCCAGGAATAAACCTGCTTAAAAACTACCAAAGTCGTGCTCAGAAGACCTAATAGTATTGTGTGATAGGCACTAGAGCCATCAGAGCCTTCCCATGCTGTAGGATCCAGGATGCACATGCTCTCCATTTAGGGGAACTTGGCAGGATATCTGTACATTCCAGATCCACTCACAGAATGGTTTGGGCTGGAAGGGACCTTAATGCTCATCTCATCCCACCCCTGCCACGGGCAGGGACACCTTCCATTAGCCCAGGTTGCTCCAAGCCTGGAACACTTCCAGGGATGGAGCAGTCACAGCTTCTCTGGACAACCTGTGCCAGTGCCTCACCACCCTCACAGGGAAGAATTCCTTCCCAATATGCCATCTGAACCTACTCTCTGTCAGTGGCAGGCCATTCCCCCTTGTCCTGTCCCTACAGGCCCTTGTCCCAAGTCCCTCTCCAGCTCTCTTGGTGCCCCTTTAGGCACTAGAAGGGTCCCCAAGGCCTCCCTGGAGCTTCTCTTCTTTGGGCTGAACACCCCCAGCTCTCCCAGCCTCTCGCATAGGTGAGACATAGTGTCTGCAAGTAGAATAATTCCCTGCTGTTGCTGTGCCATCAGTTTTCTCTATGTTCTCCCATTTAAATATGGGTTCATCATGGATTTACCAGGCCTTACCTTGCTTAGCTTCTGGAGTGGGATCTGATCACATCAGTGATGGTTTCAGCAGCCTCTTCCCTGCCAGCTGTGCTGGAGAACAAGCAGCTGGTTGTGCCAAGCAGAGCAGCCCCGGCTGCAATCCAAGGAGAATATTCCATTGTCAGCCCAGATTGTGTCCCGTGTGTCTCGCTGCAGAGCTGAAATTACATCATAGCAGCAAGCTGCAGTGAGTCACTGCACTGCTCCTGGGGTCTGCAGCAGCTCCCTGAGCCATGTTCCTGCTCACATCCCATAACTGCAAATATGGGAGCAGACAGGAGTGACATTTTTCCAATTCCCTGTTACTTAGCGTGAAGGAATTGCTGATGACTAGAGCAGATGGAAACCTCTTTGTGTGGATATTTTGTCACCTTTGATCTAATTCTTTTTATCTTGCTGTCTCCCTCTTGATGAACTATTTTCTACAAATGCTGTCTGGGGTTTTTCATGCTATCCAAGGATATTTCATTTTTGCCCCATTCCAGTGTGTCTTGCCAAGATGAATACTCCAACTGCCTGGAAACTCTGAATTCCTTTGTTTTGAATTCATTCTTATCATCCTTGAATGACTATACGTCTTCTCTCCTATCTCTGTGTCTGATCTTTCAGAATAATTTCCTACATATCTTAAGCAAACTTTTATCATGGATACTTCTTTGCATCTGTTTGCTACTTCTCTGTCAGCTCCCTGTCTGTATTCAGCCCTTTTCCTGTTCCAAATCCTTCTTTTACCCTCTTTTTCTGTAGGTAACTCCTTTTCTTGCATAGATCCTTCAGTTATTACATGCAGATCAAGATATGATCTTTGCTGTCTCCTATTACAGGCAGGATCATTCCAAGTCATTCCTGGTGGGTTCTTGTTTGGTGTTTTCTTCATTTTTCTTTCCACTTGTAGGAATTTTCATACCTTCCCATCCCTTCCATGTTCAGTGCTCAGATGTTATTCTGGTAGGAAAAGCTTTTCATCTGTACAGGGAATGTAGGTTAAGGCAATTTAAGCCCATTGCTAATTGTCCTATTATAAAACTGGAGAGGGATTATCCCTTCTCCCCCTTCCTTGCTATCTTTTATGTGTGTGAAGCTTGTTATCTCTTCACTGTCAGGCTTTTTCCAGCCCAAATCCCTGTATTTCCTTCAATTTTTCCCCATTAGTCATGGTTCCTAGAACTGACTTGGCTGTTGCTCCACACTCAGCAGCCCAGTCCATGTGCTATGGGTGGGCAATTCCAGCTGCTGTCTGCAAGGCTTTGCTGTTGTGGGGATGCTTCTTGAGCATCATTTGCACGTGTCAGGATTCAGCTGTGCTGAAATGCTGCTGCTGAGGTTTCAAGGATTCTTTGACTTGAAGAGACCACAGGGATTTGGCGTTGGATCCTCTGAACTCTTGATGTGAGTGTTGTGTAGTGTTGGAGAGAGACAGAAGCTTCTTTGGTGTGGGGTGGGAGGATTTGGCCTTCAAACTTGTTCAGCTTTAACTTTCTTGAAACACTTGTGTGGTTTGAAAATGCTGCAGTTATCTGAGAATTCAGCCATTTCCCTTAGGAAGTTTTTTGGAGAAATGGGAGGAATGAATCAATCAGATTCAAACTCACATTAAAAGGGTTTATAAAAGAGGGAGAGGGACTTTTATATGGGCAGATAGTGGCAGGACACAGGGACTGGCTTCCCACTGCCAGAGGGTAGGGACAGATGGGATATTGGGGAGGAATTGTTGGCTGTGAGGGGGCTGAGGCACTGGCACAGGTTTCCCAGAGCAGCTGTGGCTGCTCCATCCCTGGGAGTGTTCCAGGCCAGGTTGGATGGGGCTTGGAGCAACCTGGGCTGGTGGAAGGTGTCCCTGCGCATGGCAGGGAGTGGAACTGGACGAGCTTTAGGGTCCCTTCCAGCTCAGATTACTCTGGGATTCTCTAAACTCAAAAATCCTTCATTGATAGGGATAATTTACAGCAGGACACATGAATTCAGGCGAAATTGTAGCTGCAAGGGTACCCTTAAACCAAGGACTGTGCTAAATTTATGCAAGTCATGTTGCCTTTTCTATTGGTCATTACTAGAAAAAAATACTACTTATGTTTATAAAAAGCCTCTTGACATTTGCAACTCTTCCACTAGCGTTTTCCTGCCCCAGTGAAGTGTTTCTCTGTACAACTCAACTCCGAGAAACCCTTGAAGATTTACCGAAATCAGTCAGGGATGGATTCATGCAAGTTTGTTCCCTTCTGCCTTCATATTCCATAGTCTTTTTCTTAAATCAAAGTCTGGCAATCACTGAGACATAAAGGTTGTGATAATTTCTGTCACACCACACTGGCACTTCTTTTGCCAGCAACACCATTGCTAGGGAAGCTGCTTCAAAGCACAGCAAATATAAACATCTGTGTTAAAAGAGGTTATTAAAAATATTAGCTGTGCTGTTACTTAAATAAACACATGAAGAATCCAGTTTACAGCAGTGCTTAAGTCCTCTTGGGCCTGTCAAAATCGTGTAAATTAAGGGGAGCAGGACAAAGCAGTTCATGTTTTCTGGGTTGGACATCCCTGACTGTAACAGGAGGAGAAAAATCTAGTGGTGAAACTTTAAACAAAAGTAAACATACAAAGTCATTTTTTCCTGGAAAGAACATGGTAGCTACCACATTGTCTGGAGCAGAATTTTATCTGAAACCAAAAAACTTTGGCTAAATTCTGTTATTTCACATCTTGCAAGCTGTTAGAGTTTTCATAGAGGCCCAGAATGGTTTGGATTGGAAGGAATTTAAAGACCATCCAGTTCCAGCCCCTGCCATGGGCAGGGACACCTTCCACTAGCCCAGGGTGCTCCAAGCCCCATCCAACCTGGCCTGGAACACTCCCAGGGATGGAGCAGCCACAGCTGCTCTGGGCAAGCTGTGCCAGTGCCTCAGCACCCTCACAGGGAAGGATTCCTTCCCAGTATCCCATCTATCCCTGCCCTCTGGCAGTGGAAAGCCATTCCCCGTGTTCTGTCCCTCCAAGCTCTTGTCCCAAGTCCCTTTGCAGCTCTCTTGAAGCCCTTTTCAGCCTGAGATCCCTTCAGGTTAAAGCCTTTTCCCTTTGTCCTTCCATGCCAAAGGAAGAATAAAGGTAATACCATATGGTTGCAGAGGTGTAGGGTTTGTGGGGAAAATATCCTCTGCTTAGAAGTTAATATCTGTATAAATATATAGATAGAGATATAAATTGCATCTGTATCGTTATTAGTTTTGTAAATTTATGACACTTCACCCTTCTATATAAAAGTGGCAGAAACCTGCCAGGCCATTGCTCTGCTCATAACATATTTTTCAGTAGATTTTTGATTTTTCCAGGGGATATTTAGCACATTTCCAATGTGCTGATATATCTGTCCTCACCCAAAAACACGACAGGGAAGTCCGTGAAGAGGACTCTGTGCTCCTCTTCTGAGTCAGCCGAGTGGGCGTTTAGGCCATATGCTCTATCCGAGTCATTCTGGAATGAAATCCTTTTAATAACGAGTCTGTGGAATGTGAGCTCTCCTGCTTCCAGGCAGGGGACTCTGGAATTAGCTCCCAGCAATCTTTTCTCTTGTTGTTGGGACCCTTGTGCTGTGGGTGAAGCTGGATCAGTTCTGGCTGAGGCTCTCCAGTGGCTACACAGGGGCTGCTCCGAGGTTCCTCATGTGCTCCCATCTCTCTGTGGGATCTCTGTCCTTCCTTTTCAGAGCTCTCTGTGTGTGCTGAGTGTCTGAAATGAGGGATCACGCTAAGGCCACCAGGCCAGCCCTCCTCTGTTGGTCTTCAAGAAATATTTGTGCCTAATAAAAGGATGTAGTAAAGAATGCAGGACGAGGGGATGTAATAAGGAATGCAGGCTGAGATGCCTGGAGAGGATGGATGGTGGATAACAGGCTGGAGGGGATGCTGGACAACAGGGGATGGTGGATAACAGCCTGGAGAGGATGGATGGTGGATAACAGACTGGAGGGGATGGTGGATAACAGGCTGAAGGGGATGCTGGATAACAGGATGGTGGATAACAGGCTGGAGGGGATGCTGGGTAACAGTCTGGCATGCTGAGAAAGCCTTGTGAAGGTCTTAGCAATGATCCAGGCTCATGGCATGTTTGTCTGAGTTGTGTGCATCCCTCCAGAGCTCTCTGAACGCTCAGTAGTGTGTGAGGTAACCCTGGCTGCTTCCTGTTTTGCAGGAGATGACTTTTCACTGATACAGCAAGAAATATATATGGTTAAAGAATGCAAACACTGCAACATAGTCGCCTATTTTGGGAGCTATCTCAGGTAAATCCCACTTTTTATACCTACATTTGGTTCCTTCCTGAAACAACACTCAGTCTGGTCTAGTCCTTATATCTTCAGTGTTCCTCTTTAGGTTGAATTCCCTTCAGTGTTGGTTTTTTTCTTAAAGCCAACCCAGTTGGCTTTAAAAAACAAAAGTGACTAATAGTTTGTTTTCTCTTCTGGCCACAAGGCTGGAATATTTTTATCACTAGGATCAGAAAAAAACTTTTCCCTTGGACACTTGCAACATACCCAACCCTACTCATACATTTATCAGTTCTAATATATGACCAGCTTATTATTTTTCTAGAGCAGAATTGCTTTGGGATATTTTGTTTAATCATAGTTTTCTGGGCTATGAAAGTGTGGCCAGGGAGTTTTGGGAGGAGGACACTAAATGTGAAGTGCTGGTAATGACATTTTTCATGGCTGTGGTGCAACCTGCTGTGAAGCAGAGCCAAGGTGGTGCCAGCTGGCTGCATCCTCCAGTGTGCACATTAAATGTTACACAGAAAACTGGGGAGTGTTTTCCACTTCTGTGGAGCTCTGTGGGAATATATAGCATGGGCTTTTCCTACAAGGCTTCATCTTTGGGTTTCTTGGAGGGCTGTAGTGAAATAATCTGTAGGGCCTAAATGGGCTTTAACTGGAGCAAAGTGGCTGAATTTGTAAATGGATGCAGCTGGAGCAAAATGGCTGCACTTCTGTATCCTTAAAACCCCCTTTGAAGGGCTGAGAAGTGGTTTAGATAGGAGGCAATTCCAATTTGAGGTTGAAGCTGTGAGTTCAGTGTGTTGTCTGATGTGATTTTGCTGACAGCAGGTAAGCTTCAAGTGTTTTCTGCACATTGTTTATTGCAGTTAGATCAGAGGTAAAGCAACACCTTCTAGGTCTGGTAATGTTTAAAGGCTTCTCAGGAACTTTGGAATAAAACTTCCATTTTGCAAGGTGATAATTTATATTGATAACATGAGAATTTATATTGATAACATGAGAATGTTAACAACACAAGAATTTGTATTAATAGCAAGGAAAACATGTAACTTTGGTCATGCATCACAATGTATTTTTAACAAAGAGTGATCAAAAGCAAGGGAAAATAATTGAAATAATCATGATTTAAACTGTGTTTGTATCCAGAACAATCAGGTTCTGATGCCTGTTGTAACTCTCTTTTGGCAGCCGTGAGAAGCTGTGGATATGCATGGAATACTGCGGTGGAGGATCCCTCCAGGACATTTACCATGGTACTTTAACACTTACTCTAACATTTTTAAGGTCTCGAAGCTTTCTGCAAAGAAGTAAAGTGAATAACAAGTTAACAGGGAATGGTTGGTACTGGCCAGGAAGTTCATGTGGAGGGTTTTGGGGCATGAACAGAGGCTTTTAGCTGCAGTCAGAAGGTTTTGAGAGCACTTTTTAGACAAGGCGAGTGTGATTTTTGACGTATCACCTGTTGTCCTGTGGCAGAACAATTGGATATGGACACTGGCCATGTTCAAACCCAGGTTGGGTAAAGCCTTGAGCAACCTGCTCTGGTGAGAGGTGTCCCTGCCCAGGGCAGTGGGTTGGCACTGGATGATCTCTGAGCTCCATTCCAACCCCTTAACATTCTATGGTCCTCTGGTGTGAGGAAAGTTTCACTTGGAAATCTCCAAATTTGACCTTTAAAGGGCAAAAATTGCTCTCACTCCTGCTGCTGTGCAGTACCATCCCACTCTTTTATTATCTTCCCTTCTGAGGATTCAACTAGAGTTGTTGATGCTGTAGAAGGATTTACTGATGTTGTTGGGAAAGCAGTTTGGGGAATTGCTCTGCCTTTAAGTGATAACACTGAGTTTGTGAATACCAGAGCTCTTTCAGAGAACTGATTTGCTTTGTTTTCGAACTGGTTAGTCCAAACAGCTGTAAAACAATTCTAAGCCCCACAGATAGTCCTCAATATAGAATGTTTCCATTTCTGATACGAAAATATGAGCCGAAGTCACTTTTATTCCTACTTTCCTCAGACCACAGGGTATTTCAGTTCTACAAAGTCACTTCTAAAATGATAATTGGATTTCTATGAAAACAGGTTTTCTTCTCTCTGTGGGTATTGTCTTCTGTTACTGTGCTGTTTGTTTGGTTTTTACAGAAAGCCTTTCTGTAAGACAAGCAAACAAAGCCCTCTGTTCAGCTCAATGCAGAGCACAGACCATGTAAATCCAGGCTTTAGCTTTTGCATGGATTTACCATGTTTTCACTGCTTCACAGTGCTATTTATGTGCTGCATATTGTAAACTTACCCATTTTTAACCTTTGTTTTCAGTGACAGGACCTCTGTCAGAGCTGCAAATTGCTTATGTGTGCAGAGAAACTCTTCAGGTACTGTGCTCCTGCAGGTGTATGATAAAGTGTTGCTCCATCTGTAGAAAGTAGATACAGAAGATTATTTCAGTTCCATCACTTACATTGGAAGTGTGGGGATCAAACTGAGACCAACTAACCAGGGTAACCTGTTAGTTTCCATGCTGTAGATAAAGATTAACAAGAAGCTCTAGGAATGTAGTGCAAATGTTTGCTTAAATTTCAAACTACCGGCTTGCCCTGCGGTAGTAAATCCTAATGGGGTGTGGAGGAAAAATGCTGCAACCTGATAACTACAATTCTCTCTGGGTTTGTGGCTGCTAATAACTGCATAAATACAAAATGAGGTGGTGCAGGCAGCTTGTTCCTTAAAGGTGCCTGGATACTGGGAAGAAATTGTTGGCTATGAGAGTGGTGAGGCACTGGCACAGGTTGGATGGGGCTTGGAGCAACATGAGCTGGTGGGAGGTGTCCCATGGCAGGGAGTTGATTGGATTATCTTTAAGGTCCTTCCAACCCAACCCATGCTGTGATTGTATGAACTTTCCCTTCCCTGCTCTGTGTATCCATGAGTAACTCCCTGAGAGGATCACAGGGCTGCACACCTTTCCTTGGAGCACTGGCTGAACTGCTCACTGCCAGAGGCACAGGTGTAGCCCCATCAGCTCACCTGTGTGGCAGTTGTGTTCCTCAGCTCTCCTCACTGCAGGGACTCGTACGCCAGGAAGGGCAGTGTAAAGGCTGAACACCTCTGGTTGGAACCTTCAGGGCTTCAAAATATCATCTTAGTAAAGATTTATTTGGAAAAGAACATAATCTCTATGTGAAATGGTTGGTTTAAGTGAGGCTTCATAGGTATTGGCTGGAGCTGGGGGAGAGGAGGAACAGATTCCACTGTGCCTCTCACATGCAAATCTCAAATCTCTCCATTTTCAAATAAAATGTATTAAATAATTTAAATTTATTAGATGAAACTACCTTTGTATGTTAACAAATGTCAAAATAACCTCTTGTGCCTCTTTTATTTCCAGGGTCTTGCTTATTTGCATATGAAGGGCAAAATGCACAGAGATATAAAGGTAACTTAGGACTTTGAGACATTTACCTTAGACTCTCTAATGCAGCAAAGATATTCCTGGTAAAATTAGTAACTTTCTATTTGTCATGTTTTAGGGTGCAAATATTCTCCTAACAGACCATGGAGATGTCAAATTAGGTAAGTTGCCTGAATTTTATAATGTGGATTTAAAGCCATGTGGATGTGGCACTTGGAGACATGGTTAGTGGTGGCCTTGGCTGTGCTGGGGAATGGGTGGACTTGACAGTCTTGGAGGTCTCTTCCAACCTAAGTGATTCCATGATTACTTGGGGCAGCAGATGGTGACAGAAAGTGTGTATCCATGGGCTTGGGGGTGTATGTGGTGAGGCATTTTGCCTTCTTGCAGGAAGTTACAGATCATTTCTGTATTCAGCCCCCAAGCCTTGAAGCCTCCCAGGTTTCCCTGGAATTTGTCAGGTTGGGATTACCTTACTTTTATTCCTAGCCAGAATGGCTCCAGGGATGCACTGCGAGAGTGTCTCCTGAGCCTGGCAGCCTGTGGGAAAGTGGGGGCTGATCCTGCTCTGTGGGTGACACAGGTGGAAATGAGGAAAACATTTCTCTGCAAACCCTGAGGTCTGCAGGGGAAAACTGCCATGGGGTGCTCAGCATCCCACTGAGTCTAGTGTTGGATCAGGGTGGTTGCGCATTAGTGCAGCACTGCCTGTCAGAAAAGCTCTTTGATTCAAGACCTTTCCACCCCTGTGGTGAGCCAAGAGGTCTGTGTTGGGAAGGAACAGCTTCTTAAGGAAGATGGGAAAAAAATGGGAGTAAAATCTTGACACTGATAGGAGATTCCACTTGGGTTGTGCACTGATAACTCCCTTTTGCCTGATAGGCTGATTGGGCCACAGTTATCCTCCAGCTGTCACACTACAAATCAGTCAAAACATAGAGGATTTGCATGATTTTTGGCTCTGCCAGAGCACCTGATGCTCTCAGCTCTGAGGGCAAAGATTACTGTCCCCTAGACAGAGCCTGCAGGGCTGAGAACAGATGTCCCATGGCAGTTCCACCATAAGGAGCACACAAATGGTGACTTTCCCAAACCATGATGCTGTTTCTTTCTCCTCTTAAACTGAATATCCACAAATTTTGGCTGATACTGTGAGGTGGAAAAATGCTCTAGGAGAGGAACTGGATCATGAGTGAGCTGGAGGTAGAAAAAAACCTTTTAATGTTAATGATTTCATTGTTATCTTTAACTGTTTACCTTAATTATTGTTTAATTTGAATGAGAAACAGGATTGTTGTTGCATAATAGTAAGTTGCAGTAGAATTAGGATTTAAACTGAGATTTCTAAGTCTGTGTTGGTTTTCTTTTCCAGCTGACTTCGGGGTAGCAGCAAAAATAACAGCCACCATTGCGAAGAGGAAATCATTTATTGGCACCCCTTACTGGTAACAAACCACTTGGATTGCTGTCATGCAAAGCTGAGGCTGCATTTATGCCCAAAAGTCTCAAATACACTTATATTTACATCTATATATCAACTGCAGAAATGCCCTTTCTCCCAAGTAAAACGCCCAAAGGGTAGAAATCTGGGAAGCACTGATTGGAGCTGATCTGTGGCTGGAACATGAGCTACCTGATACCTGAGGCAGCATTGCCTCAGTTTGTTAATGTAGATTTATTATTTATTTTCTCAGGAGCTTCTTACACTTTGAGTGAATAAAATAATCAATGTCTTTCTGATTTCTGTACGTGAAAAAAGCCCAGGTCATTAAACTATCTTTTAATCTTCTCTGCTGATGAATGTCTGCACAAGGCAGCGTTTAATATGCAAGTAGATGATTGTACATCTTGAGCTGGATTATATATGCAAATTCAGCTGATTTCTGGCGTGCTGTGATGCAGTGGAGGTGCCTTGGGGGTGTTCCTGGTGCAGGCAACATTGCAAACAGCTTCATCCAGACAGTGGCTCTTAATTGTTCACTGCCCTCGTTAGCCTACTAGAGAAGGAGGGCTGAGGGCAGGAAGATTATCTGGTCATTAAAGTATTGCACCAGGAATCATGATCCTGGTTCTATTCCTAGCACTGCAGCGCAGTCCATGACCTCGGGTGCAACATGCCACCTCTGTGTGCTTCTCCCAGAGGTGAGGGGAGAGGACATCAGGCTCTTCCCTGACTTGCATTGACCTCGTTAGCCTACTAGAGAAGGAGGGCTGAGGGCAGGAAGATTATCTGGTCATTAAAGTATTGCACCAGGAATCATGATCCTGGTTCTATTCCTAGCACTGCAGCGCAGTCCATGACCTCGGGTGCAACATGCCACCTCTGTGTGCTTCTCCCAGAGGTGAGGGGAGAGGACATCAGGCTCTTCCCTGACTTGCATTGAGAAGAATTTCTTCCCAGAAAGGCTGATTAGACACTGGAATGTCCTGGAAGGTGAGTTGGTGGAGTCACCATCCCTGGAGGTGCTTAAGGACAGACTGGACGTGGCACTTAGTGCCACGGTCTGGTTGACACGGTGTTAGGTCATAGGTTTGACTTGATATCTCAGAGGTCTTTTCCAGCCTTAACAATTCTGTAACTTATTCTTGGGGAGAGAGTTCTGCCCTGGGGTTGCGTTCAGAAGGTGCTGCTGCTCTCAATGAAGATGTCTTTGTTGTTTCAGGATGGCCCCTGAGGTGGCAGCAGTGGAGAAGAATGGTGGCTACAACCAGCTCTGTGACATCTGGGCTGTCGGCATAACGGCCATTGAACTGGCAGAGCTCCAGCCACCCATGTTTGACCTTCACCCCATGAGGTTTGAAGCCTGGGGGCTTCCTTGTCTCCAGGACCCTCTTTCAATTCCAGCAGGAACTGTTAGGATTCAGTTTAACCTTCTCTGTAGCTCAGACACCGAGATTACTTCATCAAACATCTGCTTTGTGCCTGAGTTGTGTCTGTTTTTAAGGCATCAGCCTGGAGCTAAAATCTTGCATTTAGAACTGAAATTGTAACCAACATTTTTAAGTTGAGTTGAGCTACTGGAAGGTGTCCCTGCCCATGGCAGGGGTTGGAATGAGATGAACTTTAAGGTCCTTCCAACCCAAATCAGTCTGTGATTCTATGATCAAGAATCTGATTAAGAACAGATGAGATTTGCTAATGATAGTAAACCACTAGAGAAGCTGTAGTCTGATGTTTAACAGGAATATGCAAGGCACAGGCTGAGGGAGTTGGGGCTGTTCAGCCTGGAGAAGAGAAAGTTGTATGGAGACCTCAGAGAGAGCAACCTACCGGGCTCTGAAGGGGCTCCAGGGAAGCTGCAGAGGGACTCTTGGGTAGGAACTGCAGTGACAGGGCAAGGGGAGACAGGTTCAAATTGAAGGAGGTGAAATTTAGGCTAGATCTTAGGCAGAAGTTTTCCCTGTGAGGGTGGTGAGGCACTGGCACAGGTTGCCCAGGGAGGCTGTGGCTGCCCCAACCCTGGCAGTGTTCACAGCCAGGTTGGCTAAAGCCTTGAGCAACCTGCTCTGGTGGGCGGTGTCCCTGCCCAGGGCAGGGGGTTGGGGCTGTGTGTACTTTAAGCTCCATCCCAACCCCTTAACAATGTATGAATCTATGATTTTATTTAAAAGTAGCAAAATCAGCAGCTTTGCTTTATCTGTGCTCTGGCACAGTGCAGGCCACAGCTCAGTTTCACAAGGTGGTTCTCGCCATAAAGCATTGAAGTATTGAGGCATCGGAATGAAATGAATTATTTTCTTTTACCACAGAATAACATTATTCTTTCTTTACCTTTAGGGCTTTGTTTCTAATGTCAAAAAGCAATTTTCAACCACCAAAGCTAAAGGAAAAAGCAAAATGGTAGGTGAAACTCTTCCTTTGTTCAATATTTTCTTGGAACTAGATGATCTTTTAGGTCACTTCCAACATAAACCGTTCTGTGATTCTATGATTCAATGATTCAATGATTTTGTAGATAATGGGGAAAAACTGTTTGTTGTTATGGAATATGTTCTAGGAACAAATCCCATTTTTATCCTTTTCCCTGAATTCCCATCATGGGGCATTTTCCCCTGTCAGTGGGACAGGTACTGGTTTAGTCCTTTCATAATTTCTTTAACCTGTGATGAATTCCTTGGTTTATTTTCTGTGTCAAAATGTTTTCCGTGCAAGTTCCATAAATCAAATGGATTTTTCCTTGTTTTTTTACCTTGGCAATGTAATTATTCAAACCTGAGATGAGGTACCTTGGTGGCATTCTAACTTGTCAGAGCCTTTTGTAATCTGCTTAGTAACTGTCTTAAAATCAGTGATATCTTGGAAAATTGAACATAACCCTTTGTTCTTCTCTAAGGTCAGCAACATTCCACAACTTTGTGAAAATAGCACTTACAAAGAATCCAAAGAAGAGGCCAACAGCTGACAGACTGCTTTCTGTAAGTGATCTGGAACATCCAGTGACATCAGGAACAGATCTCTTGCTTCAAAGGGAGCAACAGATCAGTAGGAAACCACACTGGAACCATTGTCTTTACTCTCAGCACGTGTGTGGTGAAATCTGAAGGAAAGACACATTGCTCAGCTGTTAAGCAGTGAAAAGATTTTCTTCAGTACACTTTTTGTGGAATAACTATAGAAATTTGCTGCATGTTCTGTCTCCAGCCTTGCCCTTTCTGCTCATAGCTTTGTAGCTGCATAGACATTGACCCTTCCTGTCACCCAAAAATGTTTAGCAGTTGTTCATATGTCTCTGCTTTCCTGAACTAAGCTGAAAGACTCATGTTAAAAATGAAGTTCAAGTGTATTTACTTGTTTGACTCAGAGTTTAATTTCCAGTTTGCAAGTGGGGTTTCCAGGTTTATGGAGGGGTTAGGAAGTCCAGACATTAAGGAATCATTAAAATAGTACTTGAGCCACCAGAAATTGGAAAAAAATTGTCACTTTCTGTATTGGTTTTTTTTTATGAAAGTTACCTCTCAGTTGCATATTCTAACTCCTTTTTTCTGTTCTGTTCTGTGGTTCCAGCATGGCTTTGTAGGGCAGCCTGGCCTGTCAAGGTCTTTAGCAGTTGAGCTGTTGGACAAAGTCAATAACCCTGACAACCACACACACTACAGTGAAGTTGATGATGATGATTTTGAGGTGAGAACATATTCTATGTTCTATCTTTAGGTAAAACTAGAGTTTAAATCTTCTGCTTTGCCTTGGGAATGTAAGATTGCAGCTTGACAGGATGGGACTGCAACAGCTATTCCTTCTCCTTGTTGGTTTGGCTGTTGATTGAAATCCAAGAAAGAGCCTCATGACTTTCCTGACCTATCCATTTTGCAGCCTCACTCCGTTATCCGGCACACAATCCGTTCCACCAACAGGAACATCAGGGCAGAAAGAACAGCATCAGAGATCAACTGTGAGTTCCTGTTGGGCTTTGCCCTTTTTTTGGTGGTGATTTGCTTCTGGAGGATGTCATTGCCATCCTTGTGTTGTGTGCTCTGGAAAGCCTCTTTGCATGTGAGAAACAAACCCAGGGAAAACAGCACATGTTCATGAAGCTTCAATAAGGGTGTTTCAAACCTAAAATTGATAGGAGTACACTACTCAGTTGGATCTGTGTGGAATTTTTGAGGGTAGAAGTGGTTTTTCTCCAGGTTTGGACCAAAGTCTTTTGTAATGCCAACACTTATCTCCACCTCTGCGTACCATACATCACACTTTGGGGAAACCTGCTGTTAAACAGCCTCTTTTTTTCCTCCTTCGCATGTATTTAGAAGTGACACGTGGTTAGGAGTTACATTTTACTGTACTTTCATAGACTGACTTGGTCTTCACTTTTGCTCTTTCTTGTGGGTCTCATATTTGCAAATTTAAGCACATAGACAATGAGGTTGATATTTAAGATGCTTATTTTAGGTAAATTCAGTGTTGTGTACACAACATTTAGACCTGTTACAATATGCATTTCACTGCAGTAAGCACTGAAAGGACATTAGTGTAATGTTGTGTGTAGTAAACATGAAACTATAATGTTTTGTAGTTGATAAGCTGCAGTTTGAGCCTCCTCTGAGGAAAGAAACCGAAGCTCGGGATGAAATGGTAAGCACGAGTTGAGGGTGGTCTTTATTCATTACATCCACAGTGTTTTGTGCTTCAGCTCCAAGTAACACATCTCTAAAGTCCCACTCTTGCTCCCCCAACAATTGCCATGTTCTAAAGGCAGTGAGTTTCCCTCCACACTCTGTGCAGGGGGAGGTTCCCAGGTAGTAAAACCCACCGTGTGCCAATTAATTTGATGATGTGAAGTGGCTCACTGACCTCCCCATCACCAGGGTTTGTGTCCTGCCCGTGAGGTAGGAGGCTGCCAGCTCTCCTGCAGCCAGCTTTGCCCCCTGTGAGCTGCTCTGTTTGTCCCAGCCCCCAGCACTTCCCTGCAGAGCCCTGGCTAACATCCTCGGGGGTCGCTCTGTGCCTGTGTGCACAAGGGCTCCATATTTAATAAGTGTCATGAAGCCAAACAGCTGCTCTTAGTTTGAATCTGGGAGACATCAGTGGTCAGCACTGCAGAAAAATCCCTTACCTGGTTTTCCCAGCTGTGCTCCAGGTCACCAGGTAGGGACTGGTTCATGGTTTTGGGCTGTGGGTGATTGGATGTGTCCATGTCCTCTCCGTGCCATGGAATGCTCCCAGCCTCTGCTGATGACATCTCCTAGGAATTTGGAGGTGGCTGCAATGTGTTTTCTTGCTGGGAAAAAATGTCTCTAAAGTTCCCTAAGTTATCCCTACTGAGTTTCACCATAGATTTTTGCTTTCATGCTGCTTATTGCCACTTGATCCTGACGTTACACCACTTCAGGTGCTGCTTTTAAGTCTAAGAAGGAGAACGTATCTTACCAGTCATTGCTTTATAGATTGCAAAATGTCATTTCACTCTGGAATTTGATTGTTCTGCTCATGGATCATTCTTCAGGGCGTGGGAATCTCCCAGGCCTCTTTGGTGTGTGGTGTATAAAGTACTTGAGTGTGACAAGGGGGAAAAAATGACAATTTCTGCCTCTCCAGGTTGTGGCAGGTGGCAGTGACTTTGCTTCACATTGGAATCCTTTTGTTGATGGTGGAAGCAGCAGGTAAGTACAGATAAAAACATCTTTTATTCCTGTGACTTAATATGAAATTACACTGAAAGAAATATGAGTTACAGTGGAAAAATCAAACCATAAGCTCTGATCCACTTTGGTGTTCATAAATTAAGAAGGTATTTCCCAGTGTTCAGTCCTCCTTCTGCAGTTATTTGGTGATTGTCTTGGAGAATGAGTTTTAATCTCTTTCTAACCACCAAGAGGAGCTTGTTTTAAGTTTGTAGGTGGAAAGTGAAGTGTAAATGCGTGGCCAGAACACTTAACATAACACAGCCACAGTTAAGTTTCTGCAGCAAAGCTGGTAACCTCGTGAGGGCTGAGTTCAGGGTCCTGCTCTGGCCTCACACTTCTCTTCTGAGCCACAGCTCTGGTTGTGACATCCTGTGGCAAGGCATTTTCACAGTTAGGTCCTTGCAAGAAAGGGAAGGAGAAACCAGTTCTGAAGGTTTAGTTTCACCAAGTTCAGTACAACAGCTCAGCTGCTTCTGCTGTTGGGTGTCTGATCACTGTGACCTGTAATTCAGCCATGGAGAGTTCTGGGGTGAAATGTGTTGAGTAAAGATGTGCTCCATGATTTCCCCTGAGAGAACAGGCCTGAGGTGCAGGAGCACCACTCTGTCCACGTTGGGACTGAATTTATCAGGTGTGTGCCTTCCCTTGGCTGCAAAATTCTGCCTTTAAAGGCAATCCCTGAACTTGCAGTGAGGAGTGTGGAAGTTCAGCAATACCAACTGATGCACAGATGTAGGGCAAGATGGTATTTGAGCTGAAACAATTGCTCAGCTACAAGAGCCTGTTTCCCATCTTTATTTGGATCTGAGGAGCAGACAGTGAGTTTGTTTGGCTTTGTTTTTGCAGATGAAGTCTTGCATAAGCTGTCAGCTGACATTGCACCCCCTGGAAGGCTGGTGATGGCCTGGAGATTGCCAGGGTTTGGGTCTTTCTAAGTTCAACCTGGATTTTTGTCTCAGTCTTACTGTAGGAGGAGTTTGGGAGGGCTCTAGACTCTGCCCAGTAAAGACAGTGACTGTTTTCCTCCTGCTCTGGACTTGTTTGTGTGACCCTGATGAGCTGCAGATGAAGCCTTGGGAGTGCTGGCTGTTCTGCAGACAGCTGGAATCTGCAGGGTTGAGGAGGGAGGGAAGCTCCTCCTGGCAGAGTGGCTCAGTAATTTCAGTCTGTTCCTGTGGCTCTATCTGTACCAGGCTGTGCTGAAGGCAGAATGAATGTGGCTGCAGCAAACATTTCCAGGGCTATAAATCAGTAAAGAGCCACAGATTCAGTACTGGAAGGAGGATGGGCATAAAGGTTCTGGATGGTGAATTCATGCTGCTTACTTGGAAACCACTTGCAGTTGGAGAGATAAACAGGAAATGCAAAGTCCTCTGTCCCAGCAGTTCTGAGTAATCCCAGGGATGTGCAGGGAGGATGTGTGCTGGGGGCTCCTTGCTTTTCCTGCCCTTCGGCTTTTATTGAGTGAATAGTGATTGATATCTTCAACTCAGGAATTGCTAGAGTGGAAAGGGGAATACCAGAATGTGTATCTGAGGATTGAACTCATTTCTTGGGTTTCTCATTGTAGCAATTTAAGTTTACTTTTGTATAAATTTTATGCATTGTGGAGGTGGTTTTTGTTGATGGTTTCCACAGAATCCCAGACTGCTTTGAGTTGGAAGCACCTTGAAGATCATCCCATCCCACCCACCCCCTGCCATGGGCAGGGACACCTTCCACCAGCCCAGGTTGCTCCAAGCCCCATCCAACCTGGCCTGGGACACTTCTAGGGATGGAGCAGCCACGGCTGCTCTGGGCAACAAGAACCTTCCAAACAGAAAGATTTTTTTTCTCTATTAAATTTTTACTAGTTCCTGTTGGCAGCTGTTTGCTGCTTTCCCTCAGAAGTGACTTGCAGGGGAATTTTACACTATTTCAAATTTGGCTGAGTTTTCCTTGTCATTCCTCTTTAAAGACACAGCTTGAAAATTGACATTTTGCACAATTTTAGTTGGTTTCAGGGTTATATTTTCAGTGCTGCTTTGATCCTCTAGTCACAACTTTTTTTTTGTTGTCCCTGGGGTAGCTTTGAAGGAAAAATTCCCACTGTAATGGGAAACACTCTGTGTCTGTAGTGTATATACAAGGAAACTTCCCATTGTAAAGGTTTTTCTCCATTTGTCTCCCAGTAACTTCCTTTGCTCTTTGTTTTTCTTCTTTTATATTGTACTGTAAGACATTTCACCAACAAGCACCAGGTAGGGAGATGAAAGCTGAGTTGATGGTGTCTGGTATGGATCAGAGCTTCAGGGATTTTGGGGAGGTGAGGAAAGGACCACAGTGAATGGAAAAGGGCTTAATGCAGTGAAAAGGAGAAAACATTTATTCTGAAGAACTGGGAGCTGCTTGTTGTGAAGCTAAGTGACCTCACTGATAGGTTTAGTTGCATGTGTGGACCTCAGAGCAGAGCTCTTACTTGTATGCACATTTTACCTAGGGGACTGCTCACAAAGTTTGGAGATGGCAGTGAAGATGTTGAAGAGTGAGTGGATCTCCTTCCCCTACAGTTGTGTTTGCTCCAAACCCTCTCCATGCAGTGCTGCAGGCAGCTTTGCCACTCAGCAATAGCTGAGGCCTGGCTGCTGTCCAAGGCATAACACATGCTTGGCTCCTTATCTGACCCTCAGGAGGATGTCCAAAGCCAGGCTTGCTCCCCTTGCTCTCCTTCCTGAGGTTATCTGAGACTCCATATGGAAGTGCCTAATACTTTAAAGCAGATTTGATGTTGATTAATCCATGAGCCAGGCCTGGTTGGGACAGGACATGCAGATAATCCTGCAGAGCTCTGCTGGGGTATGTGCAGCTCCTCTGGTGCCCAATGTTGGTCTGATCCAGAATGAATGTTGCAAACTGAAATCAGAGAATTCCAGAACGGTTTGGGTTGGAAGGACCTTAAAGACCATCCCATTTCACCCACTGCCATGGGCAGGGACACCTTCCACCAGCCCAGGTTGCTCCAAGCCCCATCCAACCTGGCCTGGGACACTTCTAGGGATGGAGCAGCCACGGCTGCTCTGGGCAACAAGAACCTTCCAAACAGAAAGATTTTTTTTCTCTATTACCAATATCCCATCTAACCCTGCATTCTGTCAGTGGGAAGCCATTCCCTGTGTCCTGTCCCTCCAGGCCCTTGTCCAAAGTCCCTCCCCAGCCCGAGATCCAGTTCCTGAATGTACATTTATTTATTACCTTCAAATACCCTTCACCACAGTTTGCTCTGTAACGTCTAACTTTGGCATTTATGAAGGCACAAGAGTTTATCAAACCCCAGCACCTCTAACGCAATTAACAAGCTTTTCCCCTGCTCTTGGACTTGTAGTTTAGTGTGTGCAAAGCTCTGATCTGCCTCCTCTTGGCCTCTAGTTCATCTTATCTCTGGTCTGTGTTCTCAAGTCATTCTGGGTTTGCTTTTACTGAGACAGCTTTTCATTGCAGGTCAACCCTGAAGCGCGCTGGGCCTCCTCCACTGCCTCCCAAGGTAGGAATGTGGGGTTTAAGAGTTTTAAGCAGCCATCTGCACTTGTGCAGCCTGGTATGGGCTCTAGTTCTGAATTCTGCCTGTGATTTTCCACCAGAGAGGACTACCTCTGGAATTATTCTGCTCTCAAATATCTTACTTTCATAGAGTCATAGAATGTCCTGAGCTGGAAGGGACCCACAGGGATCATCAGTCCAACTCCTGTCCCTGCCCAGGACACCCCAACAATGCACCCTGTGCATGAGAGCATTGGCCAAACACTCCTGAAGCTCTGTCATGCTTGGGGCTGTGACCACTGCCCTGGGGAGCTGTTCCAGTGACCAAACACCCTCTGGGAGAAAAACCTTGTCCTGTTATCCAACATGAACCTCTTCCAGTGCCCAAACACTCTCTGGGGGAAGAACTCTTTCTTAATACCCAGCCTAACCCTCCCCTGACACAGCTCCAGCCATTCCATTGAGTCCTGTCTCACCACAGAGCTCTATATCTTTCTTACATTATGGTGCCCAAAACTACACAGTTTCCAAGGCTGATTCTGTTTTTCACGTAGCAGCAGTGTGACTTGAATTAAACTTGTCTGAAATTGATGCTTCCAGTTGCCCTTTCCCAAGTAACCATCACCTCTGCTTTGTTGCAGCCAAGAATAAACAGTTATCCTGAGGAAAACCTCCCAGATGATGAGAGGTGTCAGACAATAAAACACTTCCCAGACTCTCAGAACAGAGCCCCAGCGGCCCACAGAAGACAGAGTATCCCAGTCTGTGGACCTCAGGCTGATTCCTGCCCTGTTGGAATGACCAGCAGCATCAGCAGCCCTGGACTGCTCACAGCCAGATACAGTGACTTAGGTAAACATGTCCTAGAGGTGACTGGAATCCTGGGAAAGGGATCGGTTCCAGAGCCAGCTATTTTCAGTAGATAATTTTTTAATACAAGCTGATCATGAGGTGCAGCTTTGCCTTTTCCATGTGTTCTGGTTCTTATTAGAGCCATGACCCATGGTAGGAATGTTCTTCCCAAAGCAAGGACACTCAGCCCCTCAGTCCCATTACTGTGTGGCCTGAAGGAATAGATCATAAAATCATCAAGGTTGGATGCAGAAAAACAAGAAGTGTGGGGGATCATCTGCAATGACCTTGCCATAACTTTATTCTCAGTGGAATTTGGCCCAGGGACTGTTTGGATAATGAAAAGTGTGTAACATTACTTGAACAAGAGCTGTCCTGGGAAGGCTTCAGCTGCCTGAGATGTGGGCATAGAAGTGTCAGACATCACTTCTCCACTCCTGCTTGGCACGGGGGAGAAGAGATTTGCTATTTCACTATGTCAAGTAAGCCACAAAATGTGTCTGGGCCTCTTTTCAGGCAATGGGAATGGAATGCTGAAACTCATCGAGGAAAATGCAGAAGGGCCTGGACAAATCCCTCAGCTGCCACGGAAAAAGGAGAAAAGAGATTTCCCTGTAGGTATTGTGACCCCGGGGCTGATCTCTCTCTGGGGGCAGGGAGCTGGTCCTGTGTCAGTGTGTAGGAGGTGGTTCATGATGCCTCTCTCTTCCCACAGAAACCAGCCATCAATGGTTTGCCTCCGACTCCGAAGGTGCTGGTAAGAAACCTCATTTGCAGCGGGAGTTATCAAAATCTGCCTCGTGGCATCTCCAGTGGGGGAAGGTTTGTGCTGGAATAAGGCACCAGCTCATGTGGGGGGATTTTCTGCATCTCACAGTCAGCTGCTTTTCCAGTACTGAATCCACAAGATTTGTTTCTTTTCTTAAAAACTATTCAGTCAGGATGGGAAGGGTTGGAGGCTTCCCTGGCTCTCCAGTGCCATCTCCAGGGGCAGCCCCTGCTTAGAAAGAGAAAGAGGAGAGGTGATAGTGCTGAGAGGCTGTTACTGCTTCAATTTCTGCTCATTTTCCCTTCGTGTGCCACTTACATAAGCACTCAAGGTTGGAAAAGACCTTTAAGACCATCAGCACTGCCAAGGCTACCACTAACCATGTCCCCAAGTGCCACATCCACTTGGCTTTTTAAACCCCTCCAGGGTATATTGCTCTTACTCAGTGGGACTTAAAATAGCTGATAACATTTTGATCCCTCTTTGCATCTCTTAGTGTATTTGAAGTCTACAAAAAGCTGAGTTGTAGCTTTTAGGGAAGAGAATTTTTTTGGCATCCAAGCATTTTGTGCCTGAAAAGAGAGAGCAGTGGTGTTACAGGTGTGTGCGAGTGGCCAAGTGCCAGAAGATAAACCCTTTACTCTGTAAATTCGTTTCAGGTTTCAGTTTTGGTGTCTTTCAGATGGGAGCCTGTTTTTCCAAAGTCTTTGATGGTTGTCCTTTGAAGATTAATTGTGCCACATCCTGGATACATCCCGATACTAAAGGTAGAGTTGGGTTAGGCTTATGTTTTAAACCTGCCAAAGTGGTGATGAGCTTGTGACATAATGTCTCTGAACTGTTTAGACCAGTACATCATCTTTGGCACAGAAGAAGGGATCTACACTTTGAATCTGAATGAACTTCATGAAGCAACAATGGAACAGGTGAGTTGTGGATTGAACACACAGAGCAGGTTTGGGGATGTTCTGGAGCAATGACATTTGGCATTAGAGGAGTCAGGAGGGTTACCAGGCTCTGTGGCTTGGACTGGTTCACGTCACCCAACAAGGGAAGTCCAAAAATTAATAGTTTCTTGACTTGCCTGAATGTATTGTTGCTGCTTGTGTTAAACTGCTCTCAAACCCTCCTTGGAGAGCCGATTCCCTGCCCTTCTTCCCTCCCTTCATCCCCACTAGATGGCACATTGCAGCTCCCCTGGATGCTTCCAAAGCCCTCAGCCATGCAATTTAGCTGCAGTTATCACCAATTAGCTTTTCTTGGGCTCTCTAACCCTTTCCAAAGTCACTTCATGCCATCATGGTAGTGTTATATTTGCTCTTTTAGAGTCAGGAGTAGCACAGTGTTCTTGGAATCTCTTTCCTTGTACTTTTTCCTAAGTTTTTTCAGTCTTCTCTGGCCTCTTCCATGTCTATTTTATACCCCATTGAAAGGTTAGCTATGCCAGTGGTGGGTAGGGACAACATTCAGTGCACCCCGTAGTGAAATTTCCTTTTCCTTGAGAGCATTCCCAGCTGGCAGAAGTCAGGTGTGACCCACCTCAAACAGCAGATGCTTCTGCCATACCACTTGTTTCTTTCTTTGCTTTTATTCATGATCTCTCCCCTCCAAATCCATGTTTTTAACTGTTTATCCAACTTTTCATCCTGATTGCATCTTCCAAAGTGCATTCTGTCCCTCCAGGGTTAATCTCTCCCAATTCCAGAAGTACGTTTTTATTCCACTTTTCTTTTTTACAGTGTAAACATTGAATAGACCCAGAGAAGACAATTTATATCTGCAAGCTGCTTTTTCCTTCTATTAAATAGCAAATTTAGGTATTAGGTTAGATGGACATTTCGTGGAATCCCAGGATGGTTTAAGTTGGGACATTCCAGACCATCTCATCCTACCCCCTGCCATGGGGGTGGCACCCACCAGCCCAGGTTGCTCCAAGCCCCATTCAGTCTGGCCTGGAACACTCCCAGGGATGGAGCAGCCACCGCTGCTCTGGGAAACCTCTGCCAGTGCCTTAGCACCCTCACAGCCAACAATTCCTTCCCAATATCCCATCTATCCCTTCCCTCTGGCAGTGGGAGGAGGGAAGGGATAAATGGGATAGACCCCTTTGTCCTGTCCCTCCATCCCTTGTCCCAAATCCCTCTGCAGCTCTCTTGGAGCCCCTTTAGGCACTGGAAGGGGCTTTTTTTACATAGTTTCCTTTCAAAAGAGCTTAATCATTTGAAATCCTTTTTTCCTTGGTGGAAATCTTTAGACCAAAATCCCTGTCCTTCTCCTCTTGTCCTTATCCCTTCCTTCATTTTGATCATGATTCCCTTCATGTTTTCAAGAGGTCCTTCTTAACTTTAAAATCTCCTCAAATTCAGACCAGCTTCCCCATCAGTAGCTTCTTCCCTGTGGAACAAAAGTCAGTCCCAATCTTCCCTGGTCTGTGTGGGCACAGACCTCATAGCACATTAGCCAGGCAGGTACATCCCATGAAACACAGAGGGTTAACTAGGGTCTAAACCAGTGAATTAAGAGGACGCTGGAGTTGTAGCTGGGATTTTCTTCACTGTGAATCCCTGCAGGAATGGTGGTGGAGGTGGAACAGGCAGAGGAAATCACAGCTGGAAATTCCTGTATGTTTCTATTAATGGAATTGTTTTCTTCTTTTTCAGTTATTTCCCCGAAAATGCACCTGGTTGTATGTCATCAACAACACCTTAATGTCCTTGTCAGGTATGGATAGAGAGAGGGGAAGTCAATGACTTTATAAATAAACAGCAACATTTAAAGTCCTGATTGAATACAGTGTACCTTGTATCAGCCTGGAGAACAGCAGACCTTAGAGCACCTTCCTGTGCCTAGAGGCTCCTAGAGAGCTGCAGAGGGACTTGGAACAAAGCCTGGAGGGACAGGACAAGGGGGAATGGCTTCCCACTGCCAGAGGGCAGGGACAGATGGGATATTGGGAAGGAATTCCTCCCTGTGAGGGTTTGTTTTAGCAGTGGGCTGTCCAGGGATGCTGTGCCTGCCACATCCCTGGAAATGTTAAAGGCCAGCCTGGGTGGGGCTTGAAGCAACCTGGGCTAGTGGAAGGTGTCCCTGCCCATGGCGGGGGGTGGAACTGGATGACCTTTAAGGTCTTTTCAATCCAAACTATTCTGGGATTCTAAGATGACAGAACCTGTGTCAATTCAAAGGAGAATGAGGTGACTGTGAGTACTGCTGGTCCAGCAATATTCCTGCTTGAATATAGTGATCCTTGGACAATCAGTTGTCCTGGACTAGGCTGTTCCAGACAGGAAACAGGCATTGTCCCATGGAGTCTGATTTACAGAGAAAGAAAATATCCTGATATAATGAACTGTTTTATAATCACAGCCTTCTAAAAATGTTTACAGAACAGTGACTTTCAGAGATGCTTTATGTCATATTTTCTCTATATTCATTAATCTTGTCTTGTTTTATTTTTCTTCATACCGGGACTTGACCACCTGATGGATGTGCTCCATGTTTCTAGAAGGTAATTTTCCATACCTACATTCCATAAATGCTGCAGTTCTCTGCTGCAGGTGTGGCTGATGTCAACTGTGCCTTTCTCTCTTACAGGGAAAACCTTCCAGCTTTACTCCCATAATTTAATAGCTTTGTTTGAACAAGCCAAAAAAACAGGATTAGCTGCTCACATTCAAACCCACAGATTTCCTGACAAAATATTACCAAGGTACAAATCTTTCGCTCACAGACAATTATTAAGATTTGAAAGTAACCATAAATACTGTGGCTGCTGTTGAGTTGGTGCCTGAAGGGCTCTGACATCTCTTGTTGATGTATTTTTTGGTGATTATTATTCCAGGAAGTTTGCCTTAACAACCAAGATCCCTGACACAAAAGGATGCCACAAATGCTGCATAGGTGAGATGTTTAGCTGTGTAATTTATTTTCCTGCCCCATGTCCCTGGCCATGGCATGGCTTAAACTCATTGCTGTTTAATGCGCTTAGAGTTAGTTCATTGTTCAGGAAAAAGGTTGAGAGAGTTGGGATTGTTCAGCCTGGAGAAGGAAAGGCTTTGGGGTGACCTAACTGTAGTGTTCCAGTGCCTGAAGGAGCTACAGGAAAGGTGGAGAGAGAATATTTACAGCGACCTGGAGGGACAGGACACAGGGAATGGCTTCACACTGACAGAAGTCAGGGATAGATAGGAGATTGGGAAGGAATTCTTGGCTGTGAGGGTGCTGAGGCACTGGCACAGGTTGTCCAGAGCAGCTGTGGCTGCTCCATCCCTGGGAGTGTTCCAGGCCAGGGTGGATGGGGCCTGGAGCAGGCTGGGCTGGTGGAAGGTGTCCCTGTCCATGGCAGGGGGTGGAACTGGATGAGCTTTAAGGTCCTTCCAGCCCAAACCATTCCAGGATTCTGTGATGACTCCATGATTTTAATCACAGTCTTTATGTTGTTGAATGGAAAAGCATTTTTCATATCAATTATTAACCTAGAAATGTTGCAAGAGCAACATCCAAAGGGAATCCCTGGAGAACAGCAGCATCCTGCAGGTGATGGGTGTTGCTCACTGTGTTTGGGACCTGCTGCAGGTCTCTGTGACGAAGCCAGTGCCACCAGAGCCAGGCAGTGACTGTGATGTGTGTCACAGTGTCCCAGACCCATTGCACATACACAAATACCCTTTCTGCTTTGTCCCTTTGGCTCAGGGTTTGACCTAGATCCAACTGTTACTAAGCGGAACTTGAAAAGAATATTTTGCACCAAGAAAGGGCTGGATAGGAATAAAAATGCTGTCAGCCTGTGGAGGGCAAAGCCATTGCCCCAGGCTGGAGTGCATAGAAGAGAGTTATAGCTTGTGGAGTTATGGAATTGTCTTTGACTTCTCTGACCCTCAGGCTTGGGCTGCCTACAGGATGTGTGTCCTTTCCAAACTGTGCTGTGTGACATTAGAGTCATGGAATCTTTAAGGATGGAAAAGCCCTCTAAGATCATCAAGTCCAGCCATTTCCCCAGCACTGCCAAGGCCACCACTAACCATGTCCCCAAGTGCCACAGCTACACATTGTACTTTTTAAGAGTGTAAAGTGCTTAGTGTCACACTTGGAGATACTTTTTAGCTCCTATCAAGTGTTCCCACAGACATATTTACAATTCTTGCAGTCAGGCTGGTCTTGAATCTAATTCAGCTTAAAAAAAACACTAATCTCCTATATTTCACAAGCTGTCAGAGCTCCCCAGGAGCTTCCCATCTTCTCTGCCTGGGAGTTGTTTTATTCCAATCACAGCCTGACCCAGAGTTCTCTCTCCTTGGCTTACATAGCCCCAGGGGTCACAGCCTTTCTGCTCACTCAGCCTGTGGCTGCTGGACTGGGACTCCTGGAATGCTGCTGGTTATTAATGATACCTGTAATTGGGTTTGTCTGGAATGTAGCACAGTGTTCATCACTGTGGGTGTCGGAATGGTGAGCCAGAAGGCAACTAGTGGGAAGCTGATGGAACCAGATGATCTCTAAGGCCCTTCCAACCCTCATCATTCCATGATCCTATGATTCTATGGTGCTGTTTCTTAACTTATGTGCCAAGATAGCTGTAGGGTTTTTTTCCAAGGATGCAATGAACTTCCAAGACTGTTGTTTTCTGGTTTATTTGTATTTTCTATAGTACGAAATCCGTACACAGGCCACAAGTACCTGTGTGGTGCATTGCAGTCTGGAATTGTGCTGCTCCAGTGGTATGAGCCAATGCAGAAATTCATGTTAATAAAGGTAAGTATTTGCTTCTGATTTAGCTCAATAATTAGGCACTTGTTGAAATAACCTTTGCAGAGTTGGTCATGGAAAGTCCATCCCAGTCTGGTGCCATCTGGGGGTTGTGAGCACTTGTAAATCTGACTTGACACATTTTGACTCAGAAAATCTTGTGACTGAAGTAATGTAAGTCATTTAAAAGTCATTTAAGTGCTGGATCAAGTCCAGAACTAGCAATACCACACTGGCATGTACCTCTGCACAGTCTAATGATCATGCTGCCTTCAAAGTCACCCTTAGCAGCAGCGAAAAATTCTCTGTATTTGTATTTTGTGCATTTTATTATATACTTATTTCAAAGTAAAAGCAAATTCCAAACTTCTTTGTTATGTTTTTCTCCCAGCACTTTGATTTCCCTCTGCCAAGCCCTCTGAATGTGTTTGAGATGCTGGTGATCCCCGAGCAGGAGTACCCAATGGTGTGTGTGGCCATCAGCAAGGGCACAGAGCCAAATCAGGTTGTGCAGTTTGAGACAATCAACTTGAACTCTGCTTCCTCCTGGTTTACAGAAATTGGTGCAGGTGAGTCTGTTGGTCCAAATTCCAACTGCTTTATTGGCTGGGAATGTTGGGTATCCCTTCCCTGTTTAAGGAGAAACTGGATGTGCCACTTAGTGCCATGGTCTGGTTGACATGATGATGTTAGGTCATAGGTTGGACTTGATGAGCTCAGAGATCTTTTCCAACCTGATGGATTCTGTGGTTCCTCAGGAGTCAACTGGAAACCATTTAGGCTCAGCAGCTTCTCTACCTAAAGTTGATCCCATGGTGTTAGTGTCTGAAGGGAATCTACAAAAGAGCTGGAGTGGGACTTGGGACAAGGGATGGAGGGACAGGACAAGGGGGGATGGCTTCACAGTGCAGAAGGCAGGAATAGGTGGGATATTGGGAAGGAATTCTTGGCTGTGAGGGTGCTGAGGCACTGGCACAGGTTGCCCAGAGAAGCTGTGGCTGCTCCATCCCTGGGAGTGTTCCAGGCCAGGTTGGATGGGGCTTGGAGCAACCTGGGCTGGTGGAAGGTGTCCCTGCCCATAGCAGGGGGTGGGATGAGATGACCTTTAAGGTCTCTTCCAATCCCAGGAACTCTGTGATTCCATGGCTCTCCATGTCCTTGTGCTGACCTGCATGTATCAGTATCATCTGTCTTTCTAAAAGGATTTTGACTTTAGACACACTGTGTTTTCTAAATCTCCTTAAACACTCCCCAGGCCCTGCTGGTTGGGTTCTCCTTTGTGCTTCCACACTTTTCTGGGATCAGCCTTCCTCCTCTTTCCTCTCCTTTCTTGTGTAAAGACTCCCCTAAATTACTTCTTGTCCATCCTGCAGCCCCTGGGGGAGGTGTGTCATTTTCAGCTGCCTCTTCACAAGTAAAGATTTGGGTTATCTCCAAAGGTTGATTGATATCTTGCAGCTGCTTTTCTTTACTGTCTGTGTTGGATATCCCTTTTTACATCTATATATTGCTGTTAGCAGCTTCACCAACAGCTTCATCAATAAAAACCAGAAAAAAATCTTTTAAGTTATGTTACTTCTGGTTGAATACCAGTACAATAATCTTCCCAGGTGAGCATATTTTTAGGGGTGAAGATTCCCTTGGTGCTTCCTTTTGGTGCTTCTCTGTGAGGGAAACTGATTTGCTGTGCTAAACTATAGCATAAAATGTGTTTTGTTCAATAAAAGTAGTGCTCTCTTACTAAATACCTTCCTTGAGTGGAGAGGTTTGTCCTCCTCCATGAACATTTTGGCATCTTAGAGCCTTAAGCAAATTGAGAGTCACAGAGGGCATCATGGAAAGGCTGTAGCTCTGGTGAGAGGTGTGGGGAGGCTGAGATGAGTCTTTGGATGTGATATTAGATAATTCTGTGTTGTTTTTCCCCAGGCAATCAGCAGTTAGATGCCATCCATGTGACTCAGCTGGAAAGAGACACTGTCCTGGTCTGCCTGGACCGTGAGTAACACAACTCTTTTGGATAACTCACTACGAAACTTGTTTTGCCTGAGTTGATGGTTTTAGCTCTGTCACAAGTGAATTTTTCTCCCTTCAGGACTAATCTGTGTTGTAATATTTCCAGAAAGACGTAGTTTTGATAAATGGGGCTTTATTTTGCCTCTTGTGATTCCACTTTCCCTCTTGTTCATCAGTAGAGTCTGAAAACATGCAAAGTATACAAGAAGGTTTTTGTGTTTTGAGGGGAAGATGCTCTTGGGTTCATGTTAAGTTGGGTATTTCTTTGTGCCTGAAAGATTAACTTAGTGTTTCATACTTCAATCCTTTTCAGCAATGGGTTTTAATACTTGGGTTTTTCTGTTTCTCTTTAGAATTTGTGAAAATAGTGAATTTACAAGGGAAGCTGAAGTCAAGCAAGAAATTGGCCTCAGAGCTGAGCTTTGATTTCTGCATTGAGTCAGTGGGTAAGTGATTTGCCTCTGTTGTGTCTCAGGAGTTCAAGAGCTCAGAGGGATGAGTGCTGAAACACTGACTGGTTTCTGGGCATTTCCATAGCTCTGAGAAAGAAATGTGGGTCGGGAAAAGTGTTTCAGCAATACAAAAATTTATGTTAGTTTTCTAAAAGTTGAGGCTTTATGTAAAGTGTGAGCACATCCAATTTTTAACAGTCAGGGAATGGAACTAATCCTCAGAGGAAAAGCTGCTGTCTTTAGACTGCTAGAGGACAGGAGCTTTGCTTCTGAAACTGGAATTGTGTCAAACAAGCATTTCAGCTGTGGCAAGCTCATACATCACAGAATTAAATCACTTGGAGCTGGGAGCTCTGTGCTCTCTCCACTCTCAGTGGGAGATTCTTCCCATTCTTCATCCATCTCTTCTGAGGCAAATACAACAACTCCAGTGATGTCTCATTGCCAGAAACCCCCAGTGTTCTGGTGGGCAGCATGTTTATACAATTTTTGGGGGTTTTCTCCAGAAAACAAAGGAGTAGGAGGGATAATTAGTGAAAAATAGGATTGGGAGAACAAAGATCCAGGGAGTGGGTGTGATTAGTGTTTCCCTTTGCAGTGTGCCTTCAGGACAGTGTGTTGGCCTTCTGGAAACATGGCATGCAGGGCAAGAGCTTTAAGTCAGATGAAGTAAGTGATTTCCCACTCTCTCCAGGTTTCATTTCCTCTTCCTTATGAATCCCTGATCCTTTGGCCCCTCTGGCTGCTTCCCTAGTGATAATCCTTGTTCTCCAGGATGCTTAGCACCACTTTATCTGCTTCAGTCCTGGAATTTCCACCTAATTTTTTTTCCCTTTCAACTCAGACGAATAAATTCCATTTTGCCACTGAACTGGATCTAAATCTTTCCATTTTCCTCCAGGTGACCCAAGAGATATCAGATGAGACCAGAGTTTTCCGCTTGCTGGGGTCAGACAGGTAATTCACCTTGAAGAAACACAAACCTTCTGTTTTACTTAAAGCAGCTTTTCTAGTTTCCAGCTGGAATTGGCTTCCAGCCCCCCACAGCTCTGTCTGTAGGCAGGAATGGACAGAGAGATATGAGAGATGCCCTTGGCTAGCAGGGGCACTTCTGGAAAAGCCACTTCTGGGTTGGATTTTCATGGTGAACTATGAATTGTCTTTGCAGCTAGTTACTTAAAAATGATCTTTGCTGCTCTGGAAACAGCAAAGTAGAACACACAGAGGTTTACTGTGGGGTAAATTCACTCTATCCATCACTGATTCTGTTCAGCTGAAGAGGTGCAGCTGCCTCCAGGTTTGGAATCTGAGCAGAAGCCGACCCAGTCTCCAGGTTTGGATACACATACTGGTGGGTTCGTGGACAGCCACAGTGCTAAATGTAGGAGTAGGTAGGAATGAGTCCAGAATTCAGTACTAACCACAGAACCATGGCATGGTTTGAGTTGGACCTTAAAGCTCATCTCATCCCACCCCCTGCCATGGGCAGGGACACCTTCCACTAGCTCAGGTTGCTCCATGCCCCGTCCAGCCTGGCCTTGGACACCTCCTGGTCTTGAATCCCTAATCTTCTGCTCCCTTTGAACTGCCAAACCCCCTTGGTTTGCGTTTTCCATCTCTGTTCAGCTGGAGCAGGAATCTCTCCTGCCATTCCAGTGATGAGATGTGGTGGCACTGTGTTGTGTTCCCTGCATCACTCCAGAACTGCTCATGTGCTGAGGCAGAGATCAGAACAGAGTCTGTTAAGAGGCTTCATCTGAAAACTCTTTGAGGAACAATAAAAGCAGAGAGAAGTGTAATCCTGAAAACAGGATATTTTCCTAGGAAGTGGTGCAGGGAAATGTTAGGCATTTGAGAGGGAGAGAGGAGGTCAAAGGCCCAACCATATGAGCTGAGATGATTGTTGAGGTTCAGCATGGGATGAGCCAATGGTCAGTGTGCCAAGACAGGGAGAAAGTAATATTCCACAGCAGCCCACAGGAACATGATCCAGCAGGACAAAGGGATGAGGCTGAGTGATCCCTATGAAGCCACAGCTTGATAAATATTTAGGAGGGAGGAGAATTGTTTACTTTGGTGGCTGATGCTTATCACAAGGTGTAGGAAGGATAAACACACTCGGGCTGCAGATGATGGGATCATGGAATGGTTTGGGTTGGAAAGGACCTTAAAGACCATCTAGTTCCACCCCCCTGTCATGGGCAGGGACACCTCCCACTCTGTATCCTGCTTTAATGCTTTTATCACGAGTGATGCTGGAAAATTATGTGAATGCCTAAAAGAATATATCACCCAAGACATTTAGGATATTTAGGGGAATCTCCATCCTTCCAGCCTGTAGAGACCTGTGAGTTTCCTCCTAAGTTACTCCAAGTGCGAGACCTGTGAGTTTCCTCCTAAGTTACACCAAGTGCTTTATGTGTTGCCACCAACCCTTGTGGCTCCTGTGTGTGTTTGGTTGCAGAGTGGTTGTGCTGGAGAGCAGACCCACGGAGAACCCCACGGCACACAGCAACCTCTACATCTTGGCTGGACACGAAAACAGTTACTGAGCAACACTCACCCAACACAAGGAACAGTGGGAGTTTGCCACAGGAGGAACAAAGGAGCACTGGGAAACAGGGACTTGCCGTTTCTTTTCTGGACATGGGGAATTGTGTTGGGTTTCAGGGTGGAAATCAATCCATTTTTGCAGCTGGGAACAGCTGGTTCTGTCTCTTGCCACTGTGTGGTTGGTTATGTTGACTTTGCTTAATAAAAGCTGAGATAAAGAGCCCTTTACTCATTAGTTCTAGGGAAACAGAGCCTTGAAACATGTTGTGCAGTAAAGGTGCCATAAACTGTTAAATATTTCCCTTCCCTGGGTCCCCCTTTTACTCTGTAGATAGAGATCCAGTGCTGGCTGTTGCCCTGTTTTATACTGAGTCTTATTCTTAATAAAACAAAAAGATTTGTGTAGGAAGTGAAAGTATCTGCAAAGCTTTTTTTGGTTTTAAATCTGCCATTGGGTATGGCTTTGTATAATAGACTATTTAATCCTTATTTATTAATCTGCTGCTAGGATGGGGTAATGTCTAACTTTTAGCAAAAGAAGGTTGCAGAGCAGCTTAAAACTGTTTGGTTTTTTACCATTGTATAGAGATTGGATCCTTCTTTCTCCTTGTAGGGCTGTAGTGCATTACTGAGGGTTATGTTACCATGTTGGGTGATCTTGTAAAAAAATGCAGTTTTGTACAACAAAAGTATTTTGTATTGATTTTTCTGCCTGCAGAATTGCCATAAAAAGGGATTTTTCTTACTTCCTAGATGTAGGGTGTGTGTACACAAAGTAGAATACTGATAGCAGCTCTGTTGCTCCTGGGTGGGTGTGTACAATATGTGTGTGTGTGTGTGTGAAAACTCGACTGGCAGTGTGTATTTTTTATATATATATATGTGTTTATATATATATAAAAATGTACAAAATATATAGGCTTTATTTTCATAAATTAGGGATAAGCCTTGGGACATAAAATGGAAATTGTACCTGGTCATCATCCTTAATGAATGAAAGTATCATATATCCAACTGCCTGTGACGTATTGTTTATTTGTGCTGTTCCAGGGGGAGCCCACAGGGATATACCTGAGCCTCTGCAGCATTCCAGCTGCTGCCAGGCAGTGCTTTGGGAATACTGTCTCCCCAGCTGTGTAGCATAAATAAATATGATAAGAACCAGTATTCTATATCCAAGCTTTGATCCCTTTTCCCCTATCTTGTCACCTGCATTTTTTCCCCCTTTCTCTTTTTCTGCCTCCATTAAAGAGTCACATCAGTTCCTTTTCCTCACTAATTAAAGTCCTCCAGGTACCATTAAATACAGACTGACTACAGGAGAGCATCTGGTTTTACTACCTCACATTCCTCTGCTAGCTCTGATGTGAACACCATGGGCAGGTGCAGGAGCAGCTCACAGACATGGAAACAGAAGGTTCTGGTAGGAAATGCTGCAGCAAAGTGCTGCCTGTTCAGCTCCTGAGATCTGCTGCCTAGGAAGGACAGGTTGGGACCCACAGGCGTGTGACGTCCTGGCCAGTGTGACAGCTCAGAGCAGTTTGATGCTGTGCTGTCTGCATTGGCATCAGGCTACAGATCCATAATTTAACACCGAGGGAATTGTCTGGGCCCACGTGATGGGGTGGTGGTGTCTGTTGTTCCTAGGGACAGCTGGAGGTGTGTGTTGTTCAGAAGGTCTGGGAGGGGAATTAGCCCTGTGCACACATCTAGCGTTTTAGCCACTTGTCATTCCAAACTAATTCTTGTTGACTTGACATCAAAATCAAGTCGAGCTTTGCAGTCCTGACACTGTGTCAGAGCTTAATTAATAGTGTCACTCCTACATGTTTATACACTTCCTGGGGTTCACTCCAGGAGGATCACTCCACAAAGATGGAAAATGTGCTTTGGGGGTGTTCAGCTGGAATTGGATCAGCACTGTTAAAAGCAGGACATGTAGTTTTTGTCTTTCACAGAAATGGAGTTCTCTAGTACTGAAATTACTTCTCCACAGATAACAGTGACTGGTAATTAACTTCAAGTGGTGCAACTCCTAGTCTGCAAAGACTTAGGGACTAAGACAAAGTGAAGCACCAGCTGTAGATGCTGTAGAGCAAATGCTTTTTAATGTACCTCATCCACTGCAGAAGGTAATTCTGGCTTCACCTCTGAAAACACTTAATGGAGATCTCTGACAGACTAGAGAAACCTGTAAATAAACCCTGAATATTTATGGGGAATAACTGGAGTCAATAACTCTTAGGTCATGACACTGTCATGCAGAAATAACCAGCTGAAGGTATTTTTCATGGAACAACACCAATGACTGGTGATTTGCTGGATGGTCATGAATAAACCTAAGAGAATCCTCGTTTAATCAAACCTTTGTTAGTGGCTGTTAAACCATTTCTAGTGGCATGTTCTGAAATGCTTTGTGCTGGTTTTATAGACAGTGGCATTTATGGCATGATCTGCACTAGTTTCCTAGTGTCAAACCTCACTTACTCTTCCATATGGCACAACGGATTTGCGTGTTCCGTAGCCAACCCGGTGACTCTGATCAGTATACTCTGTACTTGGCTGTTTAATTTAGTCTGATATTGTCTGTATCTTTGGGTTTTTGTGACATTTCAACCAGGGTTGAGAAAGCCTAGTGTGGGGAGTTGGGGGTTATGAAGCAGAAATCTTGCTCAGGCCCTCATTCCTCTTTGGACAGCTAAAGTGTTGGTTATTGGATGCATGAGGTTCATGTGTCCAACTTGAAAGCCTTAAAACAGGCTCCCAGTGCTCTTGGAAGTACAAACAGCACGTGAAGAGCAGCCTGTGGATTAGTCCCTTTGGATTTCCTAACTAAATTCCTTGTAACTGAGAAATAGAGCTGGAATTGTGCTCACATCTCTCTGAAGAAGGTACAGCGCAGCAGTGAGCCATGTGTCTCTGCATGAAAAGGACCAGACTGGGAGACTCTGAAATGGACATTTTTTTACCTTGTGTAGTTGTTAGGTGTAACTGAGACTCTAACTGCACTCGTTCAGTTTGTGTAACCAGGCTTTGTCCCATGGAATTTCTGTTGCAGTTCAGTCTATGCCAAATAAACTGCTTTATTTGATACTGAGCCGTGGTGTGGTGACTTGCTGGAACAATACCTTGTCAGACAGACCTTGGAAGAGGTCAGCTGGTCTCCAGGTTCTGTGGCTGTTGTGGGAAGGGCCTGGCACCACTCTTCTCCATCCTCCAGACTGCTGGGAGCCACACAGCAGCTCCCACACACAGCAGAGCAGCACTGGGGATAGCACAGGAATCAGAACAGCAGGGGCAAATTCTTTCCAGCCCAGCCCTGCTGCCACTCACCTGGGATCCCCACAGAACCACTTAGGAGTTGTGTGGCTGGAAAAGCAGAGGCTGCCTGCCTTGTGCCCAGGTCATTGGGCTCCAAAGTGCTGCTTAGGGTAGGAAAACAGGAATGGGAGCATTTGGCATTCCATCCCAGACACAGCTCAGCCTCAGCAGGATCTGTCATAGTGTGTGAAGGAGTTGGAATGGACCTTAGAGATG